TCAGTTTTGCCAGAAAACATCTTGATGATCCCCAAGACTTTTGGGAAAATGATCCAAAACACACCAGCAAGCTTCACTCTGAAACACATCGCATATATTTATTTAATTCAATCACAGCCTTAAGGCCTTTCCACACTGAGCGCGATGCAAATGTTTTTTTTCCACACCAGTCCAACGAATCTTTTCAGTTTCGCAAAGCGAAAACACGAGCCATCCAATAAGATTTGAGCTAGGATCACCTGACCGGAGCAGCTGCTGTTGCACAAAAGCATAAGAGTGGTGGCGCTGTTTCGAAAACCAGTGAAAACGAACACTGAAGAAGAGTGTCCCGGATAAGAGAGTGGATGCTGAGTTCTTGTTATCGTTGGTATTTGAGAACAGATTTATTCTCACATGTTCTTTATACAGAATATAATTTCTAATAATTCTCCACTGAATCATGTGATCTGGAGAGCACCGTGCGTGAGTGTTATGAGTCCGAGCGCGTTCACTCTCTAGTCTAGATCTTCCGTACAAAGAGTGCATGTGTCTGCTTATTATAGAATCAACTATAAATCACAATCGGAGGTTATTACAAGCACTCGATGATGGTTTAAAGTGGGTAAGCAATTTTTAGGATTATTAAAAATAATCCACAATTCGCCACATAATTATATTTTAGGATGTAGCCTATTCTTGTAAGCATTATAGATAGTTTGAGTTTCTGGTGTAGAGCCAAACTTTGTTTATCTTTATTTAGATGTTAAATCCATTTACGAGATATAGTGTTGTCAAAAGACCCGGTACTTCGGTACCAAGTCGGTACTAAAAAAATTAAAACGTTACGGTAGGGTAAAAAAAAACAGGAGGACATGATGATATTTACTATTTTTACACACCAGAGGCTTATAAATGAATTGAGAATCTAAAATATGCGTGTTAGATAATGTACAAATGGTTAACACTGTTTGTGTCATATCAGTCAGAAAAGCAGTTCTGGGCTTTTTTTTGTTGTTGTTTTTTTAGCTAAATATGTACACAGTTTGGATTAAATGAAAGTATAGTCAAATTGT